GATGAGTTTGTACTTGTGATTTATCATTCCATTCATATTTTTTAGATTTTCTTAAGAGGTGGTTCAAAAAAATTAATGAAGTCAATTTATTTTATTGATTAAATTAAAGGCAACACTTATTATTAGTATTACACCCCAACCAACCCAATTTGGTAGACACAAAATTTGTTAAAGGAAAAACTCGGTTGAAACATAAGGGTAGCACGCTTATTTACATCGACTTTAACATTACAGACCTGCATTTGTTTTATGCGTTCACTTGATTCCGCGAATGTGAAATAGACATGTTTATAATCAACCAATTGTGAATTTCACCGTCAAGAATTAAAATAAAACCCAATGTTTTATATAATAAGCGGAAGTCGAAGCAATAAAACCGACGGTCGTTTTGTTTACAGTTTCTGTGTTTGGCTCTCACGTATGCTGTTACGCCTGTCATCTTAAATTAACAATGTTTATACATACACGATTTTCAGTTGCCTCTGATACGTAGGTATACGTGAGTAAATTGTTTCGTTATTTTATTGATTATTACAAATCAATATTCAAACGACCCAATTCATTTTCCCGAAAATTTGAGAATATAATAATTTTATTCTTAGTATTACACTACATCTATCCCAACTGATATACGTGTCCTTGCAAAAATGTTGATGACGTCATCGCAATTTTTTTTTAAATTCCCACTACAAAAATGTAATGAGAAAAAAAACACAATAGGCATGCAGTCGTCAAGTTTCCGACAGCGAGGGAAGTACTGTCTAAACTCTTTAGACCAATTTTTTAAATTTAATACCACAATCCCTTCTTCTGCACCTATGGAACGGTTGTTTAGTAGCGGAAACCAAATTCTGACACCAAGAAGAAATAATTTAGGTGACAATATGTTCGAAATGTTGTTAATTTTAAAAAATTCATTAAGCAATACATAAAAAAATACATAAACATGTTTTCATTTATTTTATTCGCCAAAGCTTCAAAATGTATGTTTTCTTGTATCTGTATCTAGATACATTTAGAAAAAATGGAAAACAATCTTTATCTAGATACTTTTATCTTCCATATATCTATATCTGTATCTAGATAATTTTAAAAGTATCTGTCCCCAGCACTGGTTGTGGTAATTTGTGTGCTCGGACAATGGAATCGGACAGCGATGAAGATTGCTCGTACACCCCCGAAAAAATTGTCAAGACGGCAAATATGGCTACATTTAATATCTATGTTCCAAAATAAAAAGTTTTTGAAGTTGGTGGGTGTTGAGTTTTGTTACGAACGCGAAAAAAATTTTGTATGCGACTCGTGAGTAAAGTGGCTTTTTTTTTCCTCGGCGGATTTGCGCACTCGCGTTCCGCTCGTGCGGCAAATTTTCCTTCTCGTGAAAAAAACATACACTTTACTCACTAGTTACATAAATAACCATTATTTACGAATTAATTCATTACCTATTAATCATGTTTTTTTTTTTAGATTTTCTCGTGAAAAATAAAAGTTTGTATGCACCACGGTTATAACTTGATATTTATAAATCTTGGGCAACTTACAAGGCCCCGGGCCAGGGACCCTGGATTTTGTAAACGTTGCTAAGGAATATCTTAATTATGCCCTTACATAAATAACAACTATTAAAGTTGTAAACAATACTCGATGTGTCTAGTATAAACACCGCTAAAGGAATAGAACAAATTATGTTTTAACTGAAGAAAAGAAGTTAAATATCTTAAGCTGTGCAAAAAAAAAACACAGTCTTCATTACTCCACCCTAACTACCCTTCTTGTTCTACAAAATTATGATTTGTGTAACATTGGTTGCATACCTCCAATATTGAACCCTGAACTGAACATAAGGATAAGCCAATATTTACTTTCATATGTTCAGAATTAAAAAATGTCTCGGCATATAATCAATTATATTGCCCTTTGTTGGTTGCGCGTGCATACAGTGAACTGTTTCAAGCGATTTTCACAGTACTAATGCTAATACTGCTAGAGTTTATCAACAAATTTTTGAAGTGAAAATTTCGATAGACTTTTTCGTGGGCAGAAGTCTGATCTGTGAAAATCATTCTTTTGTGTAAACTCAGGTTGAGAGCCGACGAGCGAGGAAAATAGAATCAGCGATGCGGTGACTAGGTAACTTCTTTTTTATCTTAAATTGAGATTATTATTATCTATATTTTTTATAGATTAAATCAAGATTGGTTCATCCTATGTTTCGAAAATTTGAGAATACTGTAATGTTTCGCTTGCTTATTTTAAATAATACTAAAATAAGAATTACATATTTTACTATACTGCGGCTTGTGTATTCGTATATATTGTACCATGATATGAACAAAAAAATCAACAGTAGGACAACCATTCTCATTTGCGATTCGTCGAGTCAATTATAAACATTGACCTCGCGTACAGTATTACCCCGCGAAACTCCAGTGAATGAAGATACCATACAACTATCGATGCAGTCTTCTCAAGACATTTAAAGAAAATTTAATCTCATACTTACTTCAAGTATCATAAAGTAATAATTTCTATCATTGAATGTACAGATTGAGTTTGTAATTATAGTAAATATTTTTATAATAATAATTATTAATAACAAAATGTTTATTTCCATAACGTTTTTAATTATAATTACAATTATATTACCATTCCTTTATTTATTTTATTGCACTATTTCATAAATCATAAATTATACACAAGCGCAATGCCGAAACTAGCTATAGACCAAGTAGGCCCTTGCCTAGGGGCGCCAACGACAAGGGGCGCCAAATTCGTCCAAAAATTATGGTGTATAGTTTTGGAAATTTCATTGTACCCTATAAAATTTTATTCGCAATAACGAGACGGACAGTAGTACAATAGCAAGAGATATTGTCGGGTGTCGGTAATCCCCAGATGATGGAAACCAGAATAATCCAGGTCCTAGCAGGGACCATCGTTACTTATGAACGGAAATGACCATTATTTTATGAGTATAACTACCTGCCAAATGTTCTCAGACAAATTCGAGTGAACTGGTGTGAGCCATAAATATTTCTTACCATTGTACTACTGTCCGTCTCGTTATCGTCAATAAAATTATATAGGGTAGAATGAAATTTCCAAGACTATACTAAGAATTATGTCATATTAATTTTTTTTTTTTTTTGAACGGAAGCTCAGAAACATGTAACCGGTGCGACAGGTTTTTGAATGTTTATTTTATTTTGAACTTACATAATATTTATAGATTTATACATATTATATGTATACCTACATGTATAATCTCGATTTTTTTTTCTTTTTTTTATATTTTATCATAGTATCTGTTTTGCATACTTAAAAAATATAAATAAAACTGTTCTGTAAAATTGGGGGGGCGCATAACGCAAGGTTCGCCTATACCTAAATATTCTTTGGTTTCGGCACTGCACAAGCGTAGGGAACGTCGTTCCATACGGGTGTCTCACGACTCCTCAAGTCTTTTTTTTCATACAATTTTGGCACATTGCGATATTCTTTCTAAGCACCTGTAAAAAAGAAATGTTGGAAAATAATATAAAGCATCGTATAACTAGGAATAGCCCTCCCAGCGGAGGCTATTAAAAAATTTTTCCCACAGATGGTTGCCCTCCAAGAGAATTTTTAAAGATCTTCACCAGCGACTTCAAGAGACGGGTTCGTAAAAAAGTCGAACGAGTTACACAACTTCTTCACCAAATTGTCAACATTGGAAGAAGAGCTGTTGGATGCTGTACATGCTGATTCTGGAACAAGTACGAGATGCCTTTATCAATGGTTTAATGAGTCCCATTAGACCCTTTGGAGAACACTGCGAGAACAGTCATTCTCATTATATATATCATCATTATATTCAGCGTGTATGAGCTCTGTCTCCTACTGATTATTATCAACCCTGTTTTGCATTTTGTAGGTGGTTGCTGCGATAGACAAAGCAAAATCCTGACTTTACTCGTATTATTTTGGCAACAGAAGAGGCAGGATTTACGAGGAATCTTTAATTATCATAACGTTCACATTTGGGAAGACGAAAATTTCCGTTTTCAGCAGGAGTTTTCAATTATTCTATATGCCGATATTGTACACAAATATCTTACAGCGCCTTCTGAACCACCTCAGTGGTTAACAAGTGCTGCTTATTGGTGATTTTTAAGAAGAGATTTGTAGGAATTATTTTCTACATGGTAGGGCGCCACCTCGTTTTAGCCGTTGGATGCGGTAATTTTCAGAATGTTCGATCAGACGAGGTGGGGCTTAGCACTGACCTGCCAAATCTTCCGATTTTAATCCACTAGATTTTTTCTTTTGGGGCCACATGAAGTTGGAATATGCAGAAAAGATCAGACCAGAAGATAGTCTTCTTTAACAACGAAGCTACCAACATCATTCGTGGGGACCCACAAGTGCTTCAATGATATAGGAGCAATGGATCCATTGTGCTAATGCTTGTGGCAGAATGAGTGTGGCTCATTTGTTGAGCATTTATTTTAATAAGATTAAAAATAAATAAAATTGCTAACAATCGTATATCTTTTTTTATTACATAGTACAAACAGTACAGACACAAAATTCTAACTTAACCACATGTTTTAGACCACAATGTTATTAGGGTTTTTGAGTCAAACTAATACATACCTAAGGAAAAACAAATCATAAGAATTTTGGATTCTTTCAGCCATTTGTTGTAAAAACGATTTTCTTTAATGATCGCTTTACGATCTTTTTCATTGACATTATAAGTAAAATGGTAAAATTCAGGTAAAGTAATGAGCTGGGGATGATGAAGTTTGCGATTATGAAATTTCGTAAGTCCGTTGATTATCGATGGCATGGAGATTGGAGTGGTGTCGTGGTCGAAGATGCCTTGCCGAAGCAGACGACTTCCTGGGGTGTTTGCAAAAGTTTTGATGTACATTTTATAGATTAAGTACGTAATGAAAGAAAATGTCAACGAGGACGGCACACAGATCGATCTACTATAGCAAAAAAGGAGACAATTTATTGCGTTTCCGTTTTATATTTCCACAGTTTGATGTCCAAAAATACAACATAATTTGTGATTAAATGTACCTATCAGTTCATTAATTTCTAAATGCTTTTTCCCAAACTTAGTTGAAGAAAATTCCAGTATTCTTCTGGTTCGGTATAGGTTTCAACGCATGCAGAATCTTGTCGCATACTTTTGGCCCATTTTCGTAGCATTGGGAAGCGGTCGAGGTTCAGAGGTAATTTTTGTCCTAAAGTTAATGAAATGGCCCCTGCGCGTTGGCCCCAAGGCCACAACATGTAATCAATCTAGAAAAACGTTAACAGTTTCCTTGTTACAAAAAAAAAACAAAGTTAAAACAACCATTCCAGGTTTGTCACCCCTGAAGAAGGTAGTTGCTCTTGTCGCAAGTTCCGACTCGAGTTCTTCTAACCCCGAAGCGAATGCTTCGGCCCACTCTTGTGGCGTTTTCTGCACGAGACTGAGCACACATTGGTAGAAAAGCCCTATCAGAGGGTCGATTTTTGTGATTAATTCTTGATCTCGTTTTCTAGCTACGAGATCTGTGGGGTACAATGGGTTCTGTGGGTACTTCTCGTCGAGAAAGTTTACGATATTCAGACTTTCGAGTACTACTTCAGAGTCGGCTTCCAAAGCAGGTACTTTCCCTGAAGTAAAACATTTATGATCTGCGGTAAAAATCTTTTTTATACAACTTACCTTCTGGGTGTATTTTAAGGTACCATTCTGGTTTGGAGATTAAGTCGATGTTTACGATTTCGTGTGGGATATTTTTCGCTTTTAGCACAAGTCGGGTTCTTTGCGCAAACGGACAATATTCCATAGAATAGAGACGCAATAGGCCTTTAATTTTCTCAGGTTTCTGCGACCCTAAAGAGCGTTCAATCAAGCATTGCGTGACAGAGTGTTTCGCTTACCTGAAGAATAACGTTCAGACATGCTGTTTGCGTAACCACACCACCTAAAATGCTCAAAACATTTCACTGTGATGTGAACGATTTGTTAAATATTTAGATAGTGGACGCATTCATTCAGGACCTGTGAGGGCTGTGTAAACAAACTTTTTGCATTTGGATAAGTTGTTTAGGTTATCAGAAAATGACACATAGAGGTATCGGCTTGTTGACTGTTGTAGTGTGACAATGTTATCATTATCTAAACAGAAAACATATTCAAACTTCATCACCGGCTCGCACTTTCAGAATATAAAGAAATTGCTTCTATCTTGCGTAGTTGCGTCAAGAATAGCTCAACGCTGACCTTGATCTATTCAATCAGCGCAACATTTTTGTAACTTTGCGATAACGATATTCGAAAACCTCCGACGCAGAACTGACATTTTGAGGTTTCAGATGGCACGCAACAACACACCTCTCAAGAAATGAACAAATATCGTAAAGGCATAGTCGCATAGTTGTATTAGACGTGCTTTCTTTGTGTTTAACGTCCCATGTCCTATGGCACAACAAAACCTGACTGAACAGGCTTTGCAATAACTTAAACCTCAACTTTAGGCCATTGTGCCTTCTCCGGTCCAAATCAGAGTGTCCTCCTGCTCCTCCAATCGAAGTTCCCAACATAACTGAAAACGAAATCAGTGCAGCTTTGGAAAAATTGAAACATAAAAATACTGCTGGTCCAGACAGAATTCCATCTATTTTCTTAAAAGACTGTTCTCCCACATTGGTAAAGCCGCTTTTTATCTTGTTAAATAAAATCTTAAGAAGTGGTGTAATGCCCAAGTTGTGGAAGATTTCTAAAATTGTTCCGATATTGAAGAAGGGTGATCGTAATGCTATCGAAAACTATCGACCAATTGCTTTAATAAATAACTTCGCTAAAATCTTTGAAATGGTGATTTTTAATAACATTTATTTCCACTTAAAAAGTAATATTGCTGAAAACCAACATGGATTTATGCATGGCAGGTCTACGGTGACAAATTTAGTGTCTTTAACTCAATTTCTAACTGAGTCAATTGATGAGGGTGGTCAGACAGACGTCATTTACATGGACTTCTCGAAGGCCTTTGACAAAATAAGTCACCATATTTTGTTGTATAAACTTGGTGTCATTGGATTCTCACCAGCGCCACTAAAGGTTTTTCACTCTTATCTTTGTGCTAGAAAACAGTTTGTCTATTGCAGTGGATGCTCATCAAAGGATGTATTTCCAACTTCTGGAGTGCCACAGGGGTCGGTACTAGGGTCACTTCTATTTTCTGTGTTTATCAATGATATAATATAACTCACATCCTGAATGTTGATTATTTACTATATGCGGACGATTTAAAAATATTCACAAAAGTAAAGTCATCGGTAGATTGTGTGAACTTACGAGTACATCGCAACCTAAATCAAATATTAAATTGGTGCAATGTTAATGAATTGCCTGTCAATAAAAGAAAATGCTACGTTATGTCCTTCTCTAAAATGAACAGTCCAATCTATTTTGAATACAGCATATTAGGTGAGTTAGTCTCTAGACCGAACATTGTTCATGGCTTAGGAGTTAAGTTTGACCGTAAATTGTCTTTTAGTGCTCACTTCGATTATGTTGTCTCTGCGTGCTTTAGGTGTACTTGAGTAATGCAGGCGGTGGAAAATCCCGATTTTTGCCATACCAAGCCAGATGTCCTACATGTAGGCTTGGTATGGCAAAAATCGGGACATTCCACCGTCTGCATTACTCAAGTACAATCAACAAATTCGATGGCTTGACAACGCTGGACACTCACAAAGAATGTGCTCAGCTGTTTCCTCTTTCTCATTGCATCCACGCCAAACTGGGTCTGTTACTAGCCCTGTCGTATGTAGATGTTTGTTAATCTGGTAATGTCCCGTAAGGAACTCGAGACATCCAGACTTTTGGAAAACAAATTAAAACACTATAAGAACATTTTGCAATTTAATTTTGAATCTGTAAAACTAAATGTTCTGAAATTTTGTAAACGTTGTAAACAAGGTAAATCGTTAATCAAAATTTATTCGTTCATACCCTCCCAAAAAGTCGATGACGTCATTTCAATAATTTGCTCAATAAATTGTACCTAAAATAGATATGCAAAATATTATGACTCGATACTTGTCGTTTATCAATGCATTCATAGTTTTTGAAATTACTTATGGAGAGTGACTCACAAAAACTATTGAATGAGACGATCTATTTTATTCATCATAACAAGCACGGCCCGCCCCATTTCCTTTATTTTAACTAATATATAATTCGCAAAATTAAATTTTATACGAGAACGAGGGAAGTCCTGCCTAAATTACTTTAGACCAATTTTTTACACTGTTATTGTTATCTATATTCTCTTTTATGTGTAGAGGTTATCACAAATAAAATATTGGAAAACAAAATTGTATAATTTTTCAAAGAAACTGTTGGAAGTAACCTTCAACAGTTTTTTTACTTTTGACAAAATACTTAGTTCGTTAGCATTTATTAGTATAGTACTAATATAATTTAAGTCAACAATTATTACTAACGTAGAATGAATCAGTTAACGATTAGTTTTCGGGGTACTTTCGTCAAGCAAAGTAATGCAATAAAAGGAATACAATTGTTTAAACTATTATTATAATATGTATGTCAAAATTACCGCAGTAAACCACGACTATCACACGTAACATATTGCAAAACCAAAAGTTCATCGATTTACGATTACAGAGATTATAAATTACTCCGTACAAGCATAAAAAAGACAGTTATCTGAATATAATGCGAACAATTTTTTCTTTTGAATGAAAAAATATGTGAGAAATGAATGGTTGGAATTTTTATGTCCCAAAAGATTCCAACATCAAATTACAGATTTTTTGCAATTACGGAGAGCCGTCTTGCTATGAATTTAAATGGCTCCTTCCGAATGAGTGGACGGACGGTTCATATTATTAATCATAAACTTCGATTATTAAATCGAGGCATCGCAGCATATCATTTGAAATATGTAGGTTGCAAAGTTCAAGAACTACACTGAAAAAACCTCGGCCGCCATAATTACCGATTATTATTATTGTAAGCCTATCAGCTGGCTGATGACAATCGAGTCACCCACGAGACGCTTGAGCTCATTGCATTATTATTATTCAAATGTACTTCATTTGTTAATATTGTTTTCTTACCGGCGTACGGAAAGTAATACTTTTCCGCATTAGTGTGGGAAGTAAAATGTAAGTAAATTTCAAGGATTTATTGATTAATGCATGATTAAAACAATTTATATTGTTATTTTTCTCGTTGCTTTCGTTTTTATATTTGTCTTGTGTGGTCTTCATCTCAAACACTTTATCATATGATGACGGAAATCTTAATTTCTGAAAGACCTGAAAAACGCTATAGGAAAAACGTTGTTCCTAACGCGCGCGGAAAATTCCGTGGGATTCCGAAACTCGTGCAGGCACCGAAACTCGTTTCGAAATCGCTGACTTCCCGTACTTATTAGGAAAATAACTAATTTTGCACTCATGACCTTTTTTCCGTTGCCATGGTAACCTTAAAATAGTCGGGTAGTGTCAACATTGTGACGCTGTCAACGCCGTTGTTTATAAATAATTCACACTTAATTTCTTCAGTTTAAAGGTTTATTCGTTGCAAAATAGTAATTTACACAACTAGTTCGGGATAGCCTGCTTCCCGCATGAACGCTTGTTTGCGGCACGACCGAAGGGAGTGACGCATTTGCGTGAATGCGGGAAGCAGGCTCACGAACGTGTTGTGTACAATATTTTTTGCAACGAATAAACGTTTAAACTGAAGAGATTAACTGTGAGTTATTTATAAACAACGGCATTGACAGCGCCGTCAACACATCACAATGTTGACACTACCCGAGTATGTTAAGGTTACCATGGCAACGGGAAGTTAAATGCACGTGTGCGGGAAGTTCGACCTCCCGCACTCTGGTGAATGCGCGAAAGCTATCAAAAAAGGTCATGAGTGCAAAAAATATTGTACACAACACGTTCGTGAGCCTGCTTCCCGCATTCACCCAAATGCGGCACTCCCTTCGGTCGTGCCGCAAACAAGCGTTCATGCGGGAAGCAGGCTATCCCGAACTAGTTGCGTAAATTACTATTTTCACATTTTTTGCTAGTAATAAATATGTTGAAAACAAGAACTGTTCCCAGTTAAAATTACCTGAAAATTCCGAAACACTTTTTGCTTCAAAAGGCGCCGGAATTTGTCTAAACTCTTCGCTGCGTGACTCGTAAGACAAGACTCAACCCACGAAAAAAGTATGACTTTCACATTTTGTTGCAAAATATACTAGGAGTATTTTTTTGGGTATTTAACTGTTTCCTTTCATCATCTTTATCTTTTCTATGATTACTGCTCTGTCTTTTAAAGTCTATGCCTTGTTTGAAATGTTCTAAAATACTACAAACTTTTATTGTAGCGAGTATCATCTTGCACATATATTCCTGAAACTGTGAGATTCTGATATAATTTAGTCTAAACATGTTTTTTTCACCTCTGTTTAGTATTGTATCCACAAGTGTCGTTGTAATCATCAAAATTCATGAGACGTTCCAAAGGTCAGTTTCGCGTAATGCGGCAATTACGACTGCAGAAGTTGAACCTGAACCTATCTCTTTCCGATATCACTACTTCTTTTTACTTTTCAACTCACCGGGTCCAAACTCGTTTCCCTATTCATGCGCTCCTTTTGCAAGTTTTGTAAACATATCGGAATAGAATGAGATTACAATCATACTTTGTTCAAATAAATGTGAACACATAATCTCATCAAAAATCGACGTATGTGCTTAACATTGTAGTTCCATTACACTTTAATAATATTGTTCCATTTTATTCCATTAAAAGTGTTTACCTCGATTACTACATTCGTGATCCATTATAAAATGACTCCCCTGAGAAACGAAGTAAAGTGCGTGTATGTATTAACAATGTTTATTTGTATTATCTGTATAAATAATAGCTACTTAAATAATAAGTTCGCAAAATAAAGTTTTAGGGGACGATTCGTAAATACAGACGAGGCAACGAAGGAATCGAGACCTTATGGGAGATAAGTCCCCTAAATGCGTACATAATTTTTACTTCTCGAGCATAAGCTAAGGAAGTGGCGTAATCGAGTACGAAAAAATAGTTCCATCTGGAGTGCATGTCTG